GCCAACACCAGCAGGCAAGCAACTGTATATCAGTATTCCGTTCATTATATTGAAGCTAGACCAATATAATTTTGGTCTAGCCTCTCACGTATCTGTCATTCTTGGTCACCACAATATCAAATGCAAACTTCTTAAGGAATACATTTCATTCAGCAAATATTTGCCAAATATTTAATAAGTGATAACTACTGATCACTCCATACTAGGCACTATTCTAGAATCAGAGAAATGGGAGTGAACAAATTCCTGTCAGAAGGCATTTATGATCTTACAGAGCAAGAGAAACAACAAATATGTAGAATATTTATACAATAATTTAATTGGTGGTAAGTGCTATGAAGAAAAGTAAGGCAGATAATGACGTTAGGAAGGGTACATGTATTTGGTGAGAGGGTTCTGTATCTTTAGGGAGTTCAGGGAAGGACATTTGAGCAACAGCTTGAAGGAAGTGAGGTAGGGAGTGTGGAAGGCACATGGGGAAAAGTTCTCTGTAAAGGAACAGCAAGTTGGAGACCTTGAGGGAGAGAAAGTCAGCTGTGTCCTAGTTGGAGCAGGAGCAGAGTGAAGGGGGATGAGGTCGGAGTGGTAATGGGTCCCTGGTGGCCGGGGACCTGTGGATCACTGTAAGGACTTGCTATTCCTGGAATGGTATAAGTAGCCCTTAAAATGGCTTGATTTTAGTGTATTTTCACTTGCGTTTAACTTGGTTTGACCTTAAGTTTCTCTGTTTTTGCACCCAGCCCCATATTTGTATCCTCTTTTTCAACTCAAAGCACTGGAATTGGCCTCCATCTAGTGGCTTTTTCACACAGATTTTCTCTGCCGCCCTCTTGGGATAGCACATTTTGTTGTATCCCAGATAGGCCCACTGTTTCTCCTCAGTTGTCAGCCTTTAGAGAGGCTCCTCCCCCATGAGGGCGCAAGCCCTTCCCCTCCATCGCACGTCCTCCTTCTGTCCTCTCCGGTTGCCTTCTAGTTACTTGCTGGCATTAATTAAGGATATTTGTCACCTGGGTCTTTGTCTTCTCCAGGGAACTGCCAAGACCATGGGGAGATCCAGTTGCGCTGCTGTGTAGTTCCTTGATCCCCACATCTGACATATTTCCTTTGTTTGGTTCAGCCACTTGTGCCCGCAGCCACAACTTGAACCTGTCTTTCCTCAGTGTTTGCCCATCTCTGAAGGTTTAATCTCTCCGTAGAGTGGAATGAGGTGGGACGTGAATAAATACATTTATACCGACAGCCTGCCTCCAGTCCAGCTACATTCTCACCCTTGTTGTACTACACCTTGGCCTCTAGGGGAAGCTTATACTCCCAGTCCTGAGGCCTTGGGCCACCTTGGATCATGGAGCTCCCTAGGGGGAGGCAGTGGTTGAATACATGAGTAAGGGAGTCAGACATAATCGTTCCAGTCCCATTTCTTCCACTTCTAAGTGGACAGCACTGTGCAAGCTGCCCAAGTTCTCTGGGCCTTACCTATAAAGTGAGCAGCATGTGTGAGGAAGGAATGATTTAGTGTAAACGGAGTACTGGGGAGAGTGGTTACTAATAAATGGAAACTAGTTATATGTTGCTTTCTTTGAGACACCTGAAGGCGCTAAAAGAGATTGTTCCATGGGGTGGTCTCATATATTTCTTGAAACAAGAAGGATTTTCAACTTCTGAAAAGCTTCTGTCATATTGCCACACAGATGTGTGAATGGACCTGGCTCTTGCCCCTTCCTCCATTGCCCTACTTCTGCCCCGCCCCGTCCTCCCCAAGGGTAACAGGACTCAGGGTGGGGCCAGAGGGAAGACAGTGTGAGTATGTGGCTTTTGCAGGCCTCCCTAGGCAATGAGACATTCTTCTTCCTTGGACTCATTGAACAGGGATTATACACATAGTACACACATAGCTCATTCCTGGAGAGTAGCACAGAGGCAGTACTGCTTCAGAAACACTGAAAACAGTCACAGTCTTTTATTCTCACTTATTGATCATGAAAAGGGGGAAAAGATGGTTTCTTTCATAGCAGCATGGCAGGTTTCTTTACAGGGCTGGAGCAGCACTAATTGCTTCCTCCCTCAGTCTCCGCACGTTCGTTCCTCAGCCCACCACATGCTGCTTTCTTTAGTCACTGTTCCTCAGAATCTGCTGCTCAGGGCCCTGGTGAGGGACTTGGAGCAGGGAGGAGGGGACCCCAGTGCTGATGTGGCAAGGTATGAGCATAATCAGAACCCATGCAGAAATGTGGAAGTCCAAAATACAAGGAATGAGTTGGACGGTCATTAAAAATATGAGCTACAGGGGTGTCTGGGTGGCTCAGTCGGTTAAGCGTCTGACTTCATCTGAGGTCATGATCTTGTGGTTCACGGGTTTGAGCCCCGCATTGGGCTCTGTGCTGACAGCTTGGAGCTTTGAGCCTGCTTCTGTGTCTCCTCTGTGTCTCCCTCTCTCTCTGCCCCTCACCTGCTGGCACTCTGTCTCTCTCTCACAAAAATAAAATAAACATCAAGAAGTATATGAACTACAACAGAAGTAGATGAAGTGCAGAAAAAATTCCTGAAACAGAAGGCATATAACTTAACTCATATATAGACAGAGACAAAAAGCAAAGGAAACCCTATGAGAGCTTTAAAACAAAATCCAGTCTAAAACATGTCTACAGAAACTAAATAAAGCAAACCAGTTATGAAAGTAAATGCAAATATTTTTCAAAATCCATTTAGAAGATGTTTAAAATAGATACCCCTGAAACAAAATAATTTAGAAGTAAAAAGGATGGGCAAAATTTTATTAAGAAAACAAACAGAAAATACAGGATGGCATATAACTTAGTTTTTAGTGAAGAAGAAGAATTGGATGCAAAATGCAGTCAAGGTGTCCAAGGGAAATATTTTTTCAATGTCAAGTAAAAACATAATTAATAGCAAACATTGCATGTGCTTTTCTGTGCTAAATAATGGAACATCAAAATATGAAGCAAACTACTTCATGCTCCAGCAGTTTTACTCCTGGATGCATTCCAAAAGAAGTGTATATATGTGATGGCCAACAAGAATATCTAGAATGTCTGTCACCCCCGAAATTGAGACTGCCCAAAGGACCATCACCAGTAGAATGGATATGTAAATTGTGAAATCCTCGTCCAATGGACTGCTATACAGCAGGGATAACACATTTTCCTCATGCAGCCGCCCACACGAACCTCAGAGAGTGCTGAGCAAAAGCTGCCCACTGCAAATGAATACATGTGTATGGTTCTATTATACAAAGGAAAAAATGGAACAGGCAGAGCTAATCTTGGAGGTCAGAAACCGGGATGAGAGTTTCCCTTTGCAGAGAGCGGGCAGTGACTGGAGGGTGAGCAGTGGGGAGGGGCTGTCCTGGGTCCTGCTGATACAGCTTTGCTAATTCTGTGAACAATTTTTCAGGCTGTTTATTTGATTTGTATATTTTTCTTTAAGTATGTTTTATTTTAGTACAAAGTGTAAATATGAAGAAAAAGTTATCAGCAATAGAAAAACTTTATGAAAAAATATTTTAGAGATTTTAGTGTATTCGAGTTTTTTGCCTAAAGAAAAATAAAGCAGATTTTTTAATAATAATAGCTACTTACATTGAATTAATGCATACTGATATGCCTTAAAACATAGGTGTATGTGTAAGTGTATACTTTAAAAAATTAACTGTTGAGCCTATATTATGCCAAAAATAAATCCTACAGATCATGTGACATTCTGAAACTACCATGTGGTAAAGTAGATATTATTATTAATATTTTAAATAACTACAAAATTTAACCACTTGAGACATCTGCTGAATGAATATTTGGTCAGTGCCTAAATGAAGGTGACAGTTACAGATTGTAATTGTAGTTGTTTTTGAAAAATAAAAGTGAGATAAATAAATATTTCATAAAAGTTTGTCCAGAGGTCTAAATCTGTATGCAGGGGGAACAATGGTAAGTTCATGGTTTTAAATGCTTCTGTTATTTAAAAAAAATGAAAATAAATTAATCACCCTTATAGTTCAATTTGATGACTAAAAACAAATCTAAGGGAAATATGAATAAAGAAGTAATAAGAGTAAAAGCAGCAAATAAAATAATTAGAAAAAAGAGAAGAAAACAAGAAAGCTGATGACTAAATCTAGGCGTTTATTCCTTTAAAAGAAAAAGAAAATAACACAATAATATAGACAGACCTCTGGCAAATGTAATTAGGAATAAAATAACACAAATATAAAGAGAAACAAGAAATCTAGTTACTGTATATGTATGTATGCAGTGTACAAATATATACACACACACGCACACACCCACACACACACACAGGGTATGTGATAGTGAGCACAGTGGCGGGGCCTAGAAGGAGAGGGGGGAGAGAGAATCTCAAACAATCTCTATATTCAATGTAGAGCTCTATGTGGGGCTTGATCCCTTGACCCTGAGATCATGACTTGACCCCAAATCAAGAGTTGGATGCTCAACCAACTGAGCCACCCAGGTGACCCCAGTTAGAAATTTTTTTAAACATAGAGTGCTTTATATCATGTTATACCAATACATAAATTGCAATTATAAATGGCAAACCTGAGGAATTGTAATTACAGAGATATAATGAAGAGAACAAAACCCTAATAGATGCAGAAATATTGGAGAAATTGGAAAGATTTTCCGATTATGGTCCGAGATCAGACAGGGATTGTGAGTCTTTTGCAAACTTTCTAAAGCGGCCTTTTGGGGGTTAACCCAGCCCTGGCAAATACTCACAGCACCATTTGACTTTGGCCAACCTGTTTAACCTTGTTGAGTGAATGAGTGAACCACTGTATGAGTGCTTGCTTGCCTTAGTGGGAGTGAAACAGCCCACTCAGAGGTTAAAATAGACTTAGGTAATGTATGTGAGGTTCTTAGCCTAGGGGGCGATTAAATAGTGAGCATTCAGTTCACAGAAGGGCGAATGGCTGATAGTACAAACGACGAGTAATTTTTTGATATGTAATTTATATTTTTCAGGTTATCCTGATCCAGAAAATTTTTCTTGGACAAAATATCTGGAAGCAACTCAGACTAATGCTGTTCCTGCCAAAGTTTTTAAAATGGTGAGTTTTATGCTCTCTACTACACTTTCAACTTGAAACAGTGTACATGTTGACTTAATTTGGCAGCTTCAAAATATTCCAGTTTTTTCTTTTTAAATTCAAGTGTTATTTTCATAACCACTTTGCCTAGTTTTCAGTTAAAATTACAAAGGAGGTGACTCACTTACCATTGTTCCCCTACACAAAAGTAATGATAGTTTCCCTCCTTAAAAAGTACAGTAGCCCACCTAGTGCAGTTGAAAACCCCCCAGCAACCCCTGATGATGGCGGAGCCCTTCATTTTTGCTTGTCTTACTCCACAGGGTGGGAACTCCGAGCTTTCACAGTCTCCGGGACTGTTTGTCAACGATACCATAATAAAAGAGAAGAATTGTATGTAGTGGGTGTGTTACTGTTTTATCCATTTTGAGGGAAACATTGCTTTTAGCATTTAGAATACCAGTTTTTAAAGTTCAAATTTGTACTTATACCTTTATTCCAGGGTTGAACCCAGCATAAATTATTTGGGAAAAGACAGTGCGCTAAGAGTACAGTTAGAAATATTTATGTTCTCAATTTCTATGTACAGATTGTTCCCTTCCAACTTAATTGTGTGCTCCAGGCTTTCTGATTCATCTTTAATCAGAATTTTATATAGTGAGCTTCTACATATGATTTCATGTATAGAAAGTTTTCTAGGGATCAAAAGGGATTTGAAACAAAATGCTATTTCATTGTTTTAAATAAATTGATTATAATGGGCAGGATTTGGAAAAATGAATTTAATCAAATTAAGAAGGCTGGAAATCTTGGAGTGCTAGAAAGGGCTTCAGGCATTGCAAAACCTTAATAAGCCAAGTACTAGCTGCTGGTAGTTACCTCTTTCTCTTTTGCTTTTTGTCAAAACTCATTTTATTTTTCTAAGAAGAAAATTACAAGAAAATAAAATTATGGTTTAGTTAAAAAGGCATCTTCCAGGCTGACATGGGGTTATTATGGGTTCACCTCAATCTGCGTACCTTTGGCATCTGCAATATGAAACTATTACGTGTGCTACCAGGACAGTGACCTTGGGGAGAACAGAAAGATTTTCAAGCATCAAAGACCAAATTATAGTCTGTATACTCCATTTGGTAGACGTAATAATGCATTTTAGAAGAAAATATTCTTCCACGAAAGCTGGAGAGAAACAAACCAGATATTGGAGAAAGATTTAACTGTTTATTACTCACATATTATGAGCTTTTTATTTTTCTATCACTTGCAAAATTCAATACACTTTCATTTTCAATGAAGTCGATTAAATATTTTATGTGTAATAGCTTTCAGAGTGACTTTTTGCCAACCTATGAACACTCCTGGAGTTGTCTTTTGACTTTAATTTTTTATATTTAAATTTCTTTGGCGTCAATGGTTTGGTAAGTTCTAGTGTACTTTTCCCCACCCCATTTTCTTTAGGATTTCCAAGTGTCCTTCATTATAGAATCCTGGTTCCTAGGTTTTTAATATTTGAAAGAAAGCTTAAATTAAAACAATTTTTAACATGCGTAGCACAGGTTATAGCTTTAAATTCGTTGTGGTATGATTCTAAAATAGTTTTAACTGTCAGAGTTATACAGCTTTTATCTATTTTAAAATTTAGATTCATAAAGGTTTATGTTTATTTTTTAATTGTTTAGTAAATAATTTTGTCTTCTGAGTCATACTCTCCAACACTGGGCAGTGAGAATAGTCAAAAGTTTCTTGATTTCTAAAGTTAATTTCAGAAAAAAATTAAATAAACTGTTAGTAAATTAGAACCTATTTTGAATCTTGTGATCGTTAATGAATTTATGGTTTCATCTGTCTTTTTAGCTCTCTTGAAAATGACCAAAAAGTTCTTTCTCCTCTCACAGGTTTTTAGAAACTGGGTAAAATAATATGCGTGAAGTCTTATGTGCCCTTAAAACTAAATTCCAGTTGTATTAAAGGCCGAATGCAAAGTCAAAACAATTGCACTTTAGAAAACATGTGATGTGGCATCTGGACAGTGGGATTTTGCTGACTTTTGCTCGCTTGATGTTGCAGCGGCCTCCCCATGGTTTTCTGCCCAGCATGAGGCTTGAAGCAGTGGACAGACGGAACCCCAGGCTAATTCGCGTGGCTACAGTCATTGATGTGGATGAGCAGCGATTAAAGGTACGAAGTACAGACTGCACTGCTGTTGTTGTGAGTGCCCCGCCTCCCTGCAGGGCTCTGGTTTCTTAACTCAGTAGGAGGAGAAACCTTCCACTAACTTCATTTCTAGTCCCAGTTCCTGGGTATAAGGATTTCCAGCTGACACGTACCTGACACGGAATCCGTAGATTAGAAACGACTGATTTTGAGAGGGATTCTAACACATTCGTGTTTGGATTTGCTGTTTAGACTTTCCCTGTTCGTTCGTTCGTTCGTTCTTTCTTTCTTTCTTTCTTTCTTTCTTTCTTTCTTTCTTTCTTTCTTTCTCTCTCTCTCTCTCTCTTTCTTTCTCTCTCTCTCTCTCCCCCTCCCTCCCTCCCTCCTTCCTTCCTTCCTTTCTCTCTCTCTCTTTCTTTTAGCTGCCTTTTGTCACTACTATCAGCTCTTTCTTCTGAAATAGTCATTTAACACCTTAATAAGAACAATTAAGTCTTTATTTTCTACTGTTCTTTATTAGATCAAAGAAAAATGGATAAAATGACTTTAGTCACTGTTGCTAAAACAGTGTTAAATTTTGATGTAATATTTGATGAACAGGTTTCTCTACTGTCTTTATTGTGAAATCTACTTCTTTAAATGCACACATCATCAAAACTAAGTTTTCTTTAAATGGAACTTTTCGTTTTTTTATACAGAGCTAAAAGTTGTGGTATTCAATAAATCTACAGCCTATGACATTTTAAAAGTTATTTTCCACCCAAACACAGTATATTTCATAGTAATAAAAAGATTCAAGTCAACTACTTTGAAAATAGGCACTATCAAGAAAGATGCATTTACATTTGATGTACAGCTATAGTTTAAGGTAAATCTTATTTGCTATATGCTGAATACTCTAATTCAACTCATAAAGAATAATCAGTATATATTTTAGTAAAACTTAGAGATGAGTGCTTGGTCCTATCTTATCAAGAATTGGCAGTGTCTTTTCTTCTTCTAACAAATGAAAACAGGTATACTGAATGCTATTCAGGACTAATACATTATAGGTATATATTGCTCTCCTGTAAATTGCTATTAATATTTTAACTTTAATTTTAAGCACATTGCTGAAATTCTTATTTGTGGCACTTTATTGCTTACTCTTACAGCACTTGCTCGGGGAATGACTTTGGATATCATAATTACTTTATAAATTCATGAATATTTTGTCATTGAAAATGAACTTCAGGTTTTTTTTCTCTGAATTCTCATTTAACTTATACAATTATTGCATTTATAGGAAAAACTCAATAGTACATCAAATCTTATTTAGAATTTTACTTGACGGATTACTTTCTTGTGATTCGTAAGCTATGTGTCTTGGTATCCAGTTGAATGTATTTGCCAATAGGTGATCACATTGGATTAATACATTGCCTTGAAATATTTGAAAAACTTTAGTTCCTAAAGCAAATTTAGTATATTTTTTATTTACTGATTCAACATTGATCCTTTTAAATCTCTGAGAATTTAGCTGACCCTTCCAAAGAAATATTTCATGTATCTTCTCCTTTTTCTTTCTCTTCCATGGTAATTGCCTTGTCCTTTACTGTAGGGAAGGAGTTGAAAAATGCCCCGTCTTTCTGGTCTCTCTGACAGGATTAGAACCTTAAGTGCTACCTCTCTGCTTGTGAACGTAATGGAAATCCCATTAGGATTTTAGGACTAAGTTAAGATGTGTCTATGCTCCTGATGCTCTCTACCCTGTGAAACGGTGCTTTATAAAATGTGCAATGAATTGCTTCCGCATACCATTCAGTCTGTCAGAATGTTATCAGTCCTGGAATGGACATAAATGTCTCAGGGCTTGTGGAGTCCTTTTGACCTCACAAAACAGCCTCTGCCCCCTTACAGCCCATTCCTGCGATGGACCCTCCATTCTGCACCCACCCCTAGTCCTGCAGTTGTGTATGTGCTTGTCCTGTCCCATGAGGTTCAGGGAGAAAGACTGTGGGCTGGCAATTTTCTGAATAGAAACAAATTATAGAGAAAATTCAGAAGTGTGGCTTAAAATTCCATTCATCAGTGTTCCCAAGGAGAAAAAGGCATTGAAAATGAGCCTCAAGTGTTTTCCTCTTAATTAAGGAAATTGAAGGCAGTGGATGGGACTATCTCTGCAGTTGAGAACACAGTTGACACTTCCCTGACCTCCTGTTTGTCCAACACCATTTGTTTATTAATGTGCCAACCATATTCTTCTGTAATTTTCTCTTCTATTTATTTCTTAAATTTTTTTGTAATTTTCTCTTTTAATGTCTGTATCTTTCCAAGGCTATTTTTATCACTGACACTGGCACGTATTAGGTGCTTAATAAATGTGTGAACAAGTGAGTGGGTGAAAGAAGAGATGGCATTGCTTATATTCTGGCATCCTGTTATTTGAGTGTGTGAATAATTGTGTTAGTCCAAAAGTACTCTTCCCTCATTCTTAATTCCTCTCCTAATTACTCACTCTTCCAGTGGAAATCCATTTCAACATAATATACTGGAAAGTGACATCGGGTAAACTGATCTGGGTTTGAATGTCAGCTCTGACTTATTAAACAGTGTTATTAGCTTCGTTACTCAGTATATTTGAACTTTTCCTTATCTGTAAAGTGATGTGGTTAATAATGCCTACCTTGCAGGCTTGTTGTGATCATTCCATGAAGTAACATATGTAAATAACCTGAAAATGTGCCTGACTGTCTCTAGCACGTCAGAGGTAACTGCTGTCATTAGCCAGTGCAAATGCCCTGTGCTGCTCTTCCTGGGTGCCTTTAATGAAGAGGCCTCATGAAAGGAATTGTTATCAGGAGATGAGGGAGGAAGGAACCCATGCTCCCTGGTGAGTTCAAGTGGAATTCCCCTGGGAGTGCTCGTGCTTCTAAGGGATTGTGCTGCAGGCCCATGTCTGACTGCTGAGAGTAGAGTCAGCAAGTCAACCAAAAGAATGGTACTAACGATGATGATAATGACGACGATGGCACTTAATTTTTATCAGACGACGCACTTGTAAGGTCGTATAAACATTAGTGTATCCTCATAGCAACTATGGAGACAAAGATGCTATTATTATATTCATTTTATAGATGAGGAAACTGAAGGCCAGGGAGATTAAGTAATTGATCCAAGGTACAAGCTAGAATGTGGGGAACCATGTTTATTCATTTATTTTTTTAAAGTTTATGTATTTTTTAAAATATTTTTATTTATTTCTAGGAGAGAGAGGGAGAGAGAGACAGCGTGAGCAGGGGAGGGTCAGAGAGAGAGAGGGAGACACAGACTCTGAAATAGGCTCCAGGCTCTGAGCTGGCAGTCAGCACAGAGCCCGACGCGGGGCTCGAACCCACGAACCGCGAGATCATGACCTAAGCGAAAGTCAGACACTCAACCGACTAAGCCACCCAGGCGCCCCTATTTATGTATTTTTGAGAGAGAGAGAGCATGAAAGGGGGAGGGGTAGAGAGAGAGGGAGAGAGAGAATCCCAGTCTGCACTGTCAGCACAGAGCCCAGTGTGGCACCAGATCTCAGGAACTGTGAGATCATGACCTTAGGCGAAATAAAGAGTCAGAAGCTTAACCAGCTGAGCCACCAGGTGCCCAAGAGGAACTTGATTTGAATCCCAGCTTTCAAACAGAGGTTTTCAACTCTAGAGCTTATAGTCTTCCTACTCCTTCTATTCTTATGTTCTAACCATTATCATAAATATCCCACTTCATAATGGGAGTGCGGATGTCTAGGGCAGGGGCCGAGCTCACTCACAGCCCACCTTACTTTGTCCTTTGTGCTGAGCCCATGTGGCCTAACCTTCCTGGGGCTTCGTGTGGTGGTACTGGCACTCCCTGGCAAAGCGCAGTAAGTCCAGAGGACTAACGTTTTTATGTTCCTCCACTCCTCAAATATGTAGCTGACCCTGTGTGCTTGATTAATTCTATTTTTAAAGCAGCTTTTTTGAGATATAATTCACACGCCATAAACTTTACTGTTTTGACTATATTCCCAGAGCTTTGCAACCATCACCACTGTCTAAGTTTAGAGTCTTGTCATTCCCCCCGAAAGAAAGCTCATGCATCCTAGCAATGACTCCTCAGTCTACACCTCCTCCCAGCCCCTGGCAATCACTAATCCACTTTCTGTCTCTATGGATTTGCCTGTTCTGAACATGTCATATAAGTGGAAACATGTAATATGTCATCTTTTTACCTGGCTTCTTTCACTTAGCATAATGTTTTGAAAGTTCTTCCATCTTGGAGCATGTATCAGTAGCTCACTACTTTTTATTTGCAAATAGTATTCCATTATATGGATGGACCTACCACATTTTGTTTCTCCATTCATCATTGAAAGATGTTTAGGTCGTTTCTATTTTTTAGTTATTTTGAATAATGTTGCTGTGAACATGTGTATGTTTTTTAGTGGATGTAAGTTTTCATTTCTCTTGGGTATATCTCTAGGAGTAGAACTGCTGGGTCATATGGTAACTCATTGTTTAACATAAAATGTTTTCTGTAGTGGTGGCACCATTTTACATTCCCACCAACAGCATATGAAGGTTTCAGTTTCTCTACATCCTCACCAACATTTGTTGTGTTTTTATTTTATATTTTAAATATTACCTAGCCTAGTGGGCCTCATGTGTGTAGATTTAAAGAATCTGAATTATTACAGTTGACATGTGATTGCTAATAGTACATTGGCTGAAGAGAGAAGGATGCAGTGACTTCCTAGTGGTTGCAGTGGTAGAAGTGAAAACAGCAGTAGATGTGGTGTCTGGCTCAGAAGTCACAGAAGTGTTATCAGTAGAGTAAGAAGACCCAGTTATTGAATATGGACTTTATTGGGACACCTGGGTGGCTCAGCCGGTTAAGCATCTTATGTCGGCTCAGGCCATGATCTCACGGTTTGTGGGTTCAAGCCCCACATCGGGCTCTGTACTGACAGCTCAGAGCCTGGAGCCTGTCTTCAGATCCTGTGTCTCCCTCTTTTTCTGACCCTC